CTAATCCCCAGGTGTCTCTGGTAGATTTTTCTTAGTGTTACCCTGTACTGCATTCTGAAATGCCTGATGCATTTTATAAAGTGAACTGATACACTCCCTGCTTCTTTCAGAGTGCTGTAACACCTCTGTATGCAGTTACAGACCTTTCCTACTTGACAGTGCGGTAAGGGAAGTAATGCCTGTGCAGGAGACAGAGATTTCCAGGGAATCATGCATAAGCAGCACACTGTGCTCATTATCTCCCAGGAGGAGCTGTGGCCCCTAATTGCCTACAAGACACCAAAAAATCCTCTCCTTCTGCCACAGTTCCCATAGCTGCTGCACTCCAATTACTGAGCCCAGGGGTGCGGGACCACCTCCAGGTGTGAACCTCAGCACGGTCACCAGGAGAGCAGTCCAGAAGATGCCCTAAAAATCCGGGAGCTCTGCCTGCCTTTAACTCCGTGAACCAGCTTTAAATTAGCGTCACAGCATGGATTGCTACCCTTGATTCTGTCAAGTGCGAGTTAGCTTTGTTTTAGCCTAATACCATGGAATCACGGAGTACTCAAAGTTGGAAGGGACCCACAGGGATCATTGAGTCCAGTTCCTGGCTCCACAAAGGCGTCCCAAAATTCAACCCCTATGTCTGAGAGCAGTGTCCAAACGCTCCTTGAACTCCAGCAGCTCCGCGCCGTGCCCACAGCCCCGGGCAGCCCGTTCCGCGCCCACCGCCCCCTGGTGCAGCGCCTTTCCCGAGCCCCTTTTCCCGCCCCTCCCCTGACGCAGCTCCATGCCGTTCCCTCGGGCCCTGTCGCTGTCACACAGAGCAGAGCTCAGCGCTGCCCCTCCGCTCCCTGTGAGGAGCTGCAGCCGCCATCACGCCTCCCCTCGGCTCCTCTGCTCTGGGCTGAGCAAACACAGGGTCCTCAGCCGCTCCTTATACGTCTTCTCATACAGCTGTGAGAATTACTTACAGTGAACATGGTTTATGTATTAATAATAATTAACTTCTAATTGGTCTGTTGTCTTGGTGTTTATTAAGGAGAAAACTGAAATAAACTGAAATAAATCCTAAATGCTAAATGGAAGACTCTTTACCCTTTAATCATCTACAGATGTTTAAAAATATTTCCACTTTTTTACAGCAGACAACAATCTAGAATAATGGTGACATTGCCCGCTGGGACTCTTCCACAGGCTCTTAGCACCAAGCTGTGCTCTGGCTTCAGGGTGTCACAAACAGGTCTGAGCCCCTCGTTACGCTGACAGCGCCCAAGCACAGCCTTCTCACAGGCACCAGGTGAAGCCCAGAACTAATGTCAGCCTTTGGGTACATGATTAGTACTTCGGTTCTCTTTTACCTGACATTATGCTCCATTAAGTGCCTACTGACGTGCTAGAGGGAAGGGATGCCATCCACAGGGACCTGGACAGGCTTGGGAGGTGAGCCCACGCCGACCTCATGAAGTTCAGCAATACCAAGTGCAAGCTCCTGCACCTGGGTCAGGGCAATCCCAAACACAGATACAGGTTGGGTGGAGAATGGCTTGAAAGCAGCCTTGAGGAGAAGGATTTGGGAGTGTCGGTTGATGAAAAACTCAACAATGCACACTTGCAGCCCAGAAGGCCAACCACATCCTGGGTTACATCAAGAGAAGGGTGACCAGCAGGTCAAGGGAGGTGATTCGGCCCCTCTGCTCCTCTGCTCTTGTGAGACCCCATCTGGAGGACTGTGTCCAGTTCTGTAGCCCTTAACATGAGAAGGATATGGAGCTGTTAAAGCAGGTCCAGAGGAGGGCCACAAAGATGATCAGAGGGCTGGAGCACCTCCCCTGCAAGGACAGGCTGAGAGAAGGCTCTGGGGGAACCTTATAGTGGCCTTCCAGTGCCTTAAGGGGCCTACAGGAAAGCTGGAAAGGGACTTTTTTATCAGGGCAGGTAGTGAGAGGACAAAGGGAAATGGCTTTAAACTGGAAGAGTACAAATTTAGACTAGATATTAGGAGCAAATTATTCACTGTGAGGGTGGTGAAACACTGGAACAGGTTGCCCAGTGAAGCTGTGTCTGCCTCCTTCCTGAAAGCACTGAAGGCCAGGCTGGATGGGGCTGTGAGCAACCTGGTCTAGAGGGGGGTGTCCCTGCCTACAGCAGGGGGTTGGAATTGCAGGATCATAAAGGTTCCTTCCAACGCAAACCAGTCTGTGATTCTACTGCATATGTTGTGATTCTCAACCGGCAGAAGAATGTGAAGTACTCTGGCTCTCAGGCACGGAGCTGAGGTGGGTGGCGGCTCCTCGCTGGGAGTTTTTGGGCGAGCTGCCTTCCGCCCGCCGCCGGGAAAGGAGCTGTTCCGTTCCGTACTGCGGAACTCGCCTGAACCAGAAGCATACGGAACAAAACCAGTCCGGAATTCTGAGACATTCCAGGTTAATATGTGCCACCACAGATTTTATTTCATTTCATTTGCTGTAATACAAGATGAGATCCCTCGTTTACATTTTTTAATTAATTTTGCGTTAAGTAATTACTAACTCTTCAGCAAGCTCGAAGGTCCCGGGGGCGCAGAGAGCGGCGGCCGGGCACGTTGAGCAGAGCCGTGCTGCCCCCTAGCGGCAGCCGGGGGGGGACGCGGGAGGCGCTGCCAGAGCGGGGAGGGTTTGCGTTTGCAGAGGTCGAGGAGAAGAAAAACAGTGCGCACGTAAGCGGCTGTGTCTCTCTACGAAGCTGGAGGAAAATCTGCGTATTAACTTACACGGGGGAGCCATCAAGTGTGAGAACTTCTACATTCAATAAAGTTGAATGTACAAAGACATCTGGGTAGATATGGACCAGAACTTCACCTAACGTTTGAAAGGCATTTCCCAGGGCTGTGCCCAGCACTCCCGCGGCCAGGCTCCTGCACTCCCCAGGGGCACAGACACTAACTCCCTATTATCTTCTCAGGGAACAAGTGGTCAGTGATGACATTTTTTTCTCTCTTGGCACATGGCAGGCTTTGCAGTGTACTCGATGACAAAATATATGGGCTCTCTCTGTTTACTGTAGAATAAAATAATAGAATCATAGGATAGAATAGCTTGGATTGGAAGGGACCTCAATGATCATCAAGCTCCAACACCCCTTCTACATGCAGGGCCACCATTACATGTGGAGATATGGAGATACCTAACACTAGACCAGGCTGCGCAGGGCCCCATCCAACCTGGCCTTGAACACCTTCAGGGACGGGGCATCCATGACCTCTCTGGGCAGCCTGTTCCAGCACCTCACCACTCTCTCTGTAAAGAACTTCTCCCTGATATCCAACCTAAATTTTCCTTCCCTTAACTTAAAACCATTTCCCCTTGTCCTGCCATGATCTACCCTGTAATTTCATCAATGAATTTTTAAAAGCTTTCTATTTTTTCCACATTCTTGATCCCTAAAATTTTTCCAGATCTATTAAAATCCAATATAAACATGACCTTGTAGAATATATCTTTTGTGGATTTCCTCATAGTAATCCATATATCAGACTGAATACCATTGTTCTAGAACTATGCTTTTTGGGTTCAGTTCATTCTTACATCCTTTTTCCAATGGTTGCTAATTTTCACCATTTCCTTTCCCATCTCTCATCTTCTCTCAGTATTTCCATACTGTGTTTTGTTCAGTCCATTAAATCCTGCACCAAGAAAATACAGCACTTCAAGCTTGGTCAGTGGACAGAGGTGGTCTGCACTAATCGTACAGCTCAACATGAAGAAACTGGCAGGAGGCCTCTCTATCACCTGAAACACCAGGGGATGCCTCTCATGACAGCTAGCTAAGAAGAATCTGTCAATCAATCGCACCTGAAGATTTATATTCTATGCAGCAGAATAATTTGGCTAGCAGATCCCTGCTCAAGGAACGCTCAGACTCAGCAAGGTGAAGATTGGAGAAACAGGCACGGTAGCAAAGCTGTAAGGAGCTCAGGGGCTGAGCTGCCCATAGGGCAATGTGACTTGTACAGAGATCACAGAATCACAGAATCACAGAATCACCCGGGTTGGAAGGGACCTCAAGGATCATGTAGTTCCAACCCCCCTGCCCAGCAGGGCCACCAAACGTACACATTCAGATCAGGTTGCCCAGGACCCCGTCCAACCTGGCCTTGAACACGTCCAAGGACGGGGCATCCACAACCTCCCTGGGCAGCCCGTTCCAGGGCCTAACTACTCTCCTTGTGAAGAACTTCCCCCTAACATCCAACCTAAATCTTTCCTCCTTCAACTTGGATCCATTTCCCCTAGTCCTGCTGTTGTCAGCCCTTCTGAAGAGTTTACTCCCCTCCTGGGTGTAGGTTCCCTTCAGGTATTGATAGGCTGCAATGAGGTCACCCCGCAGCCTTCTCTTCTCCAGGCTGAACAAGCCCAACTCCCTCAGCCTGTCCTCATAGGGGAGGTGCTCCAGCCCCCTGATCATCTTAGTCGCCCTCCTCTGGACCCTTTCCAAGATCTCTATATCTTTCTTGTACTGAGGGCTCCACACCTGGACACAGTACTCCAGGTGGGGCCTCACAAGAGCCGAGTAGAGAGGGACAATCACCTCCCTCTCCCTGCTGACCACCCCTCTCCTGATGGAGCCCAGGATCCCATTTGCCTTTCGAGCTGCCAGAGCGCACTGCTGGCTCATATTTTAATATACTTGTAGTGCTAACTTGTTGCTGGTATTGAGTTATACACTTCTTGTACCTGAAGTGGATGTATTTCATTTAAGCCTTGGCATCCATATCCAGACCATGAATTCTATTTATCCAGTACCCCTTTTTTGCTGCTGGAGGGAAACTTTCCAGCCTCAGAGAAAGTAATCAAAATCTGGAGATGAACCCATTAGTATTACACCACTCTGTTTCTTCCTGGACTCTAGCCTCATGAAGATAACAAGACTTCACTCCAGTTTCTCCACTTTTTTTTGTCCCAGCAGGTCCCCTGTCCCTTCTTGGCAAGAATACTGCCAATTATTCTATTTTTATTGCAACTTTCTGACAACAGATGTGATTGTGAAAGCCAAAATCAGTGATTCAGGATTTCTCAATTATAAGGTAAGGATCTATTTCGTTTGTCTGCTCGCTTTTTGTGTGTGTGTTTTTAAAACATTCACAATCATGATGAAAAGCAAAAAATATACTCATCACACATTCTAAAGGTTTCCAAGCCAGAAAGCAAATAAAAAGAACTCAAAGCTCAACTCAATACATAAATCTCATTATTTTTAAATCAGTCTCATGCTACTTTGCAGTCTGATTCACTGTGTTTTAATGCTGAGATCTGCAGTAACCAGCTAACAAGAGTCCTCTTCCTGGTGTGTGGAGAAGAACGTGCCAGCCAGATGTCGTCCCAGGCCAGGAGATGAAGTACCACTGCAAACATGAAAACAAGCTGTCAGTCCAAGCTGCCTAATGCAGTGCCTGCTGGGCCTGTGCCAGCAAACAAATGCCTGAAGCAGAAGTTTTCCCAGTTCTTACTCCTGTTCTCTCCCTTTTCAGCATGCTTCTATGTTAGGATTTTACAGATGAGACTTCTGAACAACAATTCATAACTTAAGTTGTCTTTCCTATGTCTTCTCCTCCCCCCCAGACAACAGATGGTTAGTATCAACAAGAGTCCTTTAAAGCAAAGTTTATTGAATACAACAGGAAGCAAAGGAATACTTTACAGATGGAATGATTATCCCAGAAGGTTAAAGGAGAAGTATTTCTGAAGACAGAGCAAACCAGAGCCCCATACAGAAAGTCCCAGACCAAGACTCATCATTTGCAGATTGTGGCAGCTAGATGAGAAGCCCAATGATGCCTCCAAGTTCCCCGGGGGAGCCAATAACAAGTGAAGGCCATGTCAAATACACTGATCTGCTACAGTTTAGTAAAGATTTGGGGTCATCACAGAAGGAATTGACAGAAAATCAATAGGGATTAAGCTCCAAGACCCAGGACTTCACTGTCTGAGTAAGCAGTGAAGCACAGAAGCAGATGTGTTACTAGAAACGTTTATTTACTCAGTAAGCTGCAGCTATTAGAGATCAATATAATCCTTTTACAGGGACTGGATACTGCTTTTTCCTTGAAGACAAGCAACTGAACTATTCAATACCGGTGCAATTTCTATCTTCATGTATGCCCATCCATGTAGTCTTGGTGATCATTGCTCTGTTATATGCAGGGATTAGTCCACCCTAGCCAGCCCTATCTAGAACTGCAGTAGTCCCAGTGTCCCAATTAGGTCCCCCTTACTAGACAGATGTAGAGAAATTTGTCCTCTGTAATGTGAAGTCTGCAGCAATTTCATGAAAGAACGAGCCCCAGACATAATTTTGCCTGGGCTATCTGATGTGCTAAAAATCCTGCCAAATCACTGACCTTGTGGTGTCAGGGCTGTTATAGAGCTAAGCATGTGCTCCTGTGCAAAGGAGCAATCTTGCCTGTTCCCATCACCTCTCCTCTATCAGTCCTAGTACTTATTTATCTGCATGGTCAGCCACTCCAGCAAGCTGATTCAACTCACTCTATGGCCACATGGTTACCACCAGTACCAGTGTGTTGAGGAGTGCCAATATGGGGACAGCCTGCAGTACATCAGCATATTTAGTTCATGAAATCTGCACCATGTGTGCATAGTAAATCTGGTGCATCTCAACCCCTTCATGATACTTCTTGTGTGTGGAACTCACCCGGCGCTTGCATGGTAAATCCAAAGCATTCCAACACATCAGTCTTGAAGGGCACATGCTCTCAGTGCTCATCTCAGTGTGACCACTAATTCTACCTGATATGCACAGGCTGCGAAGGATAATTCTGGGCACCTACACAGCACATACAAAATGTGCTCATTTGTTTCCTAGGCTCTGGGTTGCTCATTTATCTATGGGAAGCTAAGTTCTACCTAGAGCAACAATAATTGCACCCATACTTCTGTCTGCAATATCCCAAATTTCCTGCCTTTACCTCCCCATGTGGAATCATAGAATCAAAAATACTGAAAAGACCACTAAGACCACTTAGTCCAACCATCAGCCCATCTCCACCATGCCCACTAATCCATGTTCCTCAGTGCCACATCTCCACATTTCTTGAACACCTCTAGGGACAGTGACTCCACCATCTCCCTGGGCAACCTGTGCCAGTGCCTCACCACTCCTTCTGAGAAGAAATTGTTCCTGTGTCCAACCTGAACCTCCCCTGGTGCAACTTGAGGTCATCCCCTCTCATATTATCACTGTTACATGGGAGAAGAGGCCGACCCCCACCTTGCCACAACTTTCAGGCAGTTGTAGAGAGTGGTAAGGTCTCCTCTGAGCCTCCTCTTCTCCAGACTGAACCATCCCAGTTCCCTCATCCAATCCCCATAATGCTTGTGCTCCAACACAAGATGTATACCCAGGTCCTGAAAAGGGAACTATTGCCCCTAGCTCTTCACTCCACCTTGCTGCCAGGAGCTACCAAGCCCATCAGAGGGCCAACAGAAAGGAGTTCACCACTAACATATGAGAAGTCTAGTGACTGTCATACACTGTCGATTAAAATGAGTATACACCCAGTACCTGGCAGAAAGAGTTTAGTCTAGTGATTCCTATGAGCACATAAACCAGCAAAGCAGCTAGAAGGAATGAGGAGTCACAGCAGGAGAAAAGTTACTTAAACCAAATGCAGGGGACTATACAGAGGTCCTTTACCAGTGCCTTTCAAACAGTTCACAAAGCAGTCTGCTTTCAGGTGGCATAAAATGTGAATGTAGGATACTTACCGTTAGATGACTGAAAAAAGTACTGCCAAGTTTAATTTTTATATTTTATATGAAAACAGTTTTAGGTGAATCTTCCTGAGCACTGAAGTTGAATGTTTTGGAATTAGGAGAAATAAATTTCAGTCCAGCATGAAAAATGTGCACTGCACTGAACATGGTCTTTCCCCGGTGCATTCTTTCTTCCTTCAGTTTTCATTTCATAGATGTTTGATTCCAGGCAGAGGAACTCTGAGTTCATGAGAAACATGGAAATGAGTCCCAGGGAGAGGATTTTTTCCCTTGTTTTTTCTGCTTAATGTAAGAGTAGGAGAAATAAAAACAACGAGGAGCCAAGCTGCAACCTTTTGCTCCGCACAACTTCCTGAAATTTCTCCTGAGCAAGATGAACAGTGCTGCAGCAAAAACAGCTCGTGCTGAAAATGGCATCTGTGAGTTACTCTGCAGAATTCAGACACAGTCCCATATTTACCCCATCTGCTTCTTCAGGACAAACTACTTGTCTACCCAGGTGTATAATTAGATATAAAGGAGTAATTTAAGAGGAATATCCTCCTAGCTTTTACTAGCCTCACCAGACAAACAATAGAAATCCTGTTTTAAACTAAGGAAGGACAAAATGCACTAAAAGCTACACAGGAAACAGCCCTGAACTGCACGGGATTTGGGCTAAATGATTTTAAGGCTGTGAGCAGATGTCTCTCTTGGAAGCAGCAGAACCAGCTGCTCTCCGTCACCACCCTCGAGCTCAAGCCGACCTTCACCCGCGGCAGCGCAGAGCGTGTCGGTGCTCCGCCAGACAGACCGACCGGGTCAGATTAACCAGTTCAAACCGGGTATTTGAACTGAGCCACGGGAACTTTCCTGCAGGGGATTAGCGCGTTCCTGCAGAGCCTGCCCCGAGCTGACAGCAGATCCGAGGGCATCCCTGGCATCAGAGAGGCAACGAACAGCTGAAAAGGGGCAATGTCTCCATAAGGCGCTGGCCCAGCGCTGCAGACAGCGGCACTGCACAGAGCGGTGCCAGCAAAGCTCTCTGCTCCGGGCCCAGCTGCAGCTGCCCATCACTGCCCGAGTTATAACAGGAGCTGCATTATAGCTTCTGCACTGGGCGAGGAGCAAAGCGGGGCTCAGGAGCAAGGGTGGCCCGCTGACACAGGCCCAGAGGGAGCTACTGAATGGTGGCCATCTGCAGCCTAAGAAGCTCTCTCCTTCCTTGTCTCAATCTGTTTTCACTTTAAGCCCGTTTTACAGTCTGGACTGAACTGGGATTTAGATGTATTTTATGTGGCCGGCACCACCCACCGTGTCTCACAAGGGATGACAGCGCCTGCCACAAGTCATTTACAGGCCAAGAGTGAGTGCAGGCTCCCACAGACTGAAGCGAGGCCTGCTTGTTCCTCCTCACCATGGCTTTTCCCATGACTGTCCAGATCCCTTGGCGGTCCCTTCCCTGCCCTGTGGCAACTTCAGCTCCTCCATACAGGCTGAACAAGCTTTAGATGCTTTCTTCAGAGTCTGGAATGTCGTTATGAATCCCAGAGCCATGCAGAGGTACAGGGAGCAAACCCACCCAAGCCCCGGTGGCCTGCTGCTGCCTGGGACTAGAGCTGATGGCACCAGAGTCCAGCAGGACACCTGGAGGAGGGGGCACATGCCAGCCACCAAGCCTTGAAACAGCCTTGCTGAGGGCACCTCATCTCCTCAGACTTCCCATTTGTATCCTCCTGTCACTGGACTGTATAATTCCACAGATTAAAGGGTTTTTGTTTGTTTGTTTTCCCCAGTGAATCTAAGGGAGCAAGGAACACAGCTCCTAAAACCTTCACTGCACTGCACTATATATGGCCACAGATCACCACTCTGTGCAAATAGAAGAGCATGCAGAGTTTGTACAGTTTAAGCCTCATTACCTTCTTGGTATCAAACAAGAGCCCGATTCAGACTGTCTCACCAGGAACTGACTTGTTAAAAACCACAAGGTAAAAATCAAACACAACAGCTTCATCTGCTCAAGAAAATAGTGAGAGTGGATTCTTTGTATCTAATCCACTGATGAAAGAAGAGATACGTGGATTGGGCCAGTAGAGCTGAAAGCCCCATCAACAAGGACTAATATAATCCAGTCCTATACATTTTTAACCTGCTCAGCCCTGCCCTCTTATAAAACAGGCATTTCAGCTGCTGTATTTCTGTTAATTGGATGTGTTCTTAAACGTACATGAGGAAAACCACATTAAAGCCTCTCATGATTCCAGATAAGATTTACAGTTAGCACATGTAAGTGAAATGTCACTCAGGCCAAAGGAATTGTTCCTCCTTTGTCTGCTACTGCAATCCCTGAACTTGATCCTACATTTCCATACTCCCACAAGTTTAGTGAGGACTCTTAACACACTGCTGCAACCCCACCTCAGCAGCCTGCTGCCCTCCTGCCTCGGAACTGGCACAGGGGCAGCTCCGTCTCAGCCAGCCTTTGCTGTGGCTCTGGCTCAGATTTCCCGCTGCTGAAACTCTTGCCCTTTTCCATCAGATCCTTGCGTGCTTAGTGGGCTGTAGGGAAAAAGAGACAGGGAGTGTCTCGCTTGGGTGGGAAGGGAGGCCTGAGTTCCTGTCGTTTCCCCTGTGATTATTTCAAGATTTTTCAGTAACAGTCTTTACAGGATGGGCTGGGACGTTTTATCAGAGTTGCACCAGATTTCGGTAGAACACTTTCCAGTGAGGTCCTTTCCAAACTGGGGCCCTGGGCCAGAGCCTGGAGACGTTGCCTCCCTGCAGCTGAGCACAGCCTCATCAGACTGGTGGATTTAGCCCTGCTGCTGGAGAAAGAAGTCCCCGCTGGTTCTTCCTGTAAAAGAAGGACAGGATTTTTGCTTTTATTTAAGAAATAATACATAGATCTTGACTGATTAAAGGCCACCTTGATGGTGCAAAGATAAATCTCTAGGTCACCTGCATGACAAGGGTAAAGTGCAAAGCTCCGAACTTGTAAAAGAATATAATTTGCTTCTCTCCCAGCTGTCCCTCAAAACTGAGGAGTGACTCCTCAGAGTACCAAATTCTTTTCTTACAGCCACCAGCACACACATTTGAGTTGATGCCTTTTATCTGAACTAGACAATGTCTTTTTCCTACATAAACACTTCTTTGAGTTTTTGGTTCCCCCAGCAGATCCCTCAGGGATCACCAACCTTCTTCCCACACCTCCCATCTCACTATAGCACAGGCAAGCCTGGACTGCTCCTGCTGCAACTCATCAGTATACAGCCTTTAAAGGCAATAAGAACACAAAGGCATTTGAAACTTTCTAAATCACCCTTTGCTTTCCCAAACTCTCTCCTTTTAGCCAGACACACTGAATGGAACAACTCGCCAAGTGAACAGGAAACAACAGCTCCTTCCTGCTCTGCAGCCCCACCCTCCTACAAGGAACTCGCTTTCTGCAGGGCTGGCTTTGGTTACGTTCCAGCACCAGCTGAATGGCGTTCCCATTTGAGCTCGTGTTACTCATTTGTTGCCATCGAAGTTAAGTAAAAGATCGAGAGATCCATAATGTCAGCTTAATCCCAGAAAGCTACAGAACAGCAGCTCTGTGGCATTTGAGGTGGAAATATTTTTCTGTTCAATCTGACTTCCATAGGTATTCTAAATTTCACATACCTGCTTGGATTTTCAGGAGTTTTTATGTGACTCACGACAGCACAGAGAATGAATAACGATCTTAGTTTGGGATATTTTTAGACACAGACTCTTGGGGAAGAACCTCAGCTTTTAAGTATGACGTTATTGTTAGCTTGTTGGGTTTTGTTTTGTTTTGTTTTTCACTTGAGAACACCAAACATTCTCAGATAATCCAAATTTATCCCATCTGCACCCTCTACACGTTTCACATACATTGTGCTCATGAACAGAGATCTCTTGATATGCAAGCATGAATTTGATGGGTGAGAAGCTTTCAGTAGCATCAGGTCTCAAGTGAGCTCAGGCACCTAAGCAGATGTGCAGAAGTAGAGGATCTATCCCATAGGGAAGCAGAATCTGTTAGAGGAAGGAATGGTGCTGTGCCAAAGCCTGGCTGTGTCAGGGAGCATTTACTTGAAGGGCCATGCACTAACAAAGCAAGGAAATCAGAAGGGCTCCAGCTATTTTCAAACAGAAAAAATAAAATTACAGCGAGAACTCAAACTATAGAGTATTAGAGGACTAGTCAGCATGAGGGAGGGAGGGAGAGAGGGAGGATGGAGGAATGATGTCCGTTGATAGGACTATGGAGCAGAAGAGGTATTAAAACTCTATCCTAATTTTACTGTGCATGCACATCAAAGCTCCGTACTTTATTTATTTATTTAACCTATCCTGTAAGATAGGTAAAACTGTATTCCAGGTGAGCTGAGTAGAGTATGCCACATTCTTTGTCCCTTCTCATGGTTCTTGGAATCCCATTGCTACATTCTACCTTCCTGGTGGTTGCTTTGTATCTTGGTGCTTAAAAAGCCCACGTGGGAGAGCAGTATTGGGCACTATAATATTTTCTGGGCTTTCCCCTGCTCACGAATGCCCTGTTTGTGTGCATGCCAGAACTCCTCCTGTTCTGCCAGTAACTCACCACCTGAAAGGTCTGGCTTTCTGCCTGAGCACTACAAAGAATTAGCCCAGCTGAGGTTCAGTCGTTCACACCATAAAGAATGCAGAAAATAGATATCTATAATTTCTTTTTTGCTATTCATTCCACCTGAGCTTCAAGAAACTCTTGCATTAACATCCTTAGTGTCAAGACTGACTTTAGGTTTAGGATTGCCTCTGGCAATATTGTTTTCTCCAGTAGAGATTTTCCTCACTTTATCACTGTCCTGAGAGGACTTAGAAGTTGGTTTTTTATCACTTTTTTTTTCTTTCTTTTTTTTTTTTTCTTTTTTTTTTTTTTTTTTTTTTTTTTAATCTAAAAGTCCTTGGGATGTATTTGGATTTTCATAACAATTTAAATAATTTCTTCAAGACCTTAAAGCACCTCTTTTCCCCTTACATAACAGGTATTCTTTCAAAGGAAGAACCTCATTCAAATGTTGTGGCTCATTCTCAAAAACACTAGTTGTTCCAACTTTAAGCTAAGTAGTATTTAGCATGTACAATTTTCTACTTCATTTTCTGGCTCACAGGTACTCAAAGATTTTACGTATTTGCTTAGACTAAAACATTTTAAACAGTTTGCTTTCTGTTCATTCTTTATCCTTCATCCTTTTTCTTTCACAGTGCTTCCAAGAGTTGTAACAATTCAATGCTGGCCTTGAAAAAAGTATGAAGTATTCAGGAGTTCGAGAAAAAAAGTGCAAATTATCAAACACTCCCTTGTTACATATAGTTACATATAATTACATATAGTTACATATAGCGCTATTCTTACAGACATACCAGAAAAGACCTCAAAAAGTCTCTAGCCCACTGCTTTGCAAAGACAAATTCAGATATGCACTGTTAGCCTCATAGACAGTTTCAGCAAGGATAATTACTTTCTGATGACCAAGTAAGAAAGTATTTCTCGCTGTACAAAGTGGTGGATTATTTATTTCTTGCCCTGTTGGTGATTATTTTTAGTAGTTCTCATATTTCATCTGCAGAGTGGAATGGAACTGGTTCGAGGTGGACTGAATTATTCCTGCATACAAAAGGGTTTGATTTCAAACCTGGCAGGAAGCAATGTAAGCTGGAAAGGAAACCTCTAAGTGGAGGCAAATGGAGCCTTGCTATTTCTTTCATTGTCATCTTAAATAGTGAACAGACACCTCCACCTGCAAGTCTGCCCAATAGAACAGATACACGAGTCCATCCATGGTCTGTTCCCTTGTCTACCCAGCACACCATGCTTTTAACACAGGGTACGTTTGTCTCTCTCTGAGGTAAGAGCTAACACCAATACAAACATGGCTCCAGGTATCATCATCATGATTAATCATCCCTGAATAAAATCAAGGGACAATGTAGAGGACAGCAGACAAGATGGGGAGAAGTGCATGTCCTCTTATTGTTGTAGGGAAAGGCTTTGTAGTGCTCCCACACCTACTTGCCATCCTCCTGGTGACTGCATCCACCCTGATAATCTACAGACAGAAAACACAAAGCCCTTTTTAGTGGTCTGTCGCTTTACAGGAAATAAATAATTGCACAATCACTTAGTAACACATCATAGAAGCTGTGCTAATTGCTTTCATTGAAGTGCCAGGTTTTCTTATCAAACCTGACAGGTAGAAATTCCTGAAAGTCTATAAACCAGTAAATAATTAGCTTCAAAAACCTCCTTCTTGTACCTTCTGGCACCCTTTTGCCCACAGCAGGGAACAGCTGGAAACAAGCGGGAACTCAGAGCATTTCTGCCGAGAAATTATTTGCTCTCTGTGCCTCTGTTCACATTAAATCAATTTAATGCTTAAAAAATAATAAGAGCATGAAAAACACTCCATTGAGGCCATGCAGAAGTCCTGCCCAGCCAGACTGGGCTCTCTGCCTTGGCAGAACAGGGTCCCCGAGGCCAGGGCTGTGCTGAGGCAAGGGTGGTGGTGGGCCGCCACGGTGGGAGGGCCACGAGGATGTGAGCGCAGGCTGCTGGCTCGTGCTCCCTCCTGACCTTCAAAGTGTCCTGGGCAGTGAGCTGCTCACCAGAGCATTCAGGGCATTCTGCCGAGGGAAACATCTGTGGTAAATCCACCCTCATCCCATGTTTTAAGTACTTTCTGTTTTGTTTTCTTTTGCAACACTTTTGACTTCTCCTTTGAAGGAATGTGCCAACAGCTGGCACTCAGGAGAGAGCTCCTGGCTGAAGGAACCGCTGCCCACTGGAATGCCTCAGCCAGGTCCTGTGAGATCTTACTGAGAAACATCTGTCTTCACCCACTCCCCTCTGTGGTTTAATTAAAGCATTTTGAGCAGAGCTTGCTGTTCTGCCTCTCTCTACTGCAGTACTTTCAGCTCCAAGACCTTGCCTTAGGAGCACAGTGATCTCAGGTGTTTGCCCAGGCATTGGGGCCCACCTCTCTTTTTGTTGTTACCAGCTCAAACATGCTTCAACCCACAACATCTCCTTGATGAAGCTGTGTATTCTTCATAAACCCAACTCTTTCAAGACCATGTGGGTACCTTATCTTTTCAATTATCTTGTTTTCCAACAGGGCCCCAGTGCCTGCCTGCAAGATGGTTTGTTTACGCAAGAAATGCCAGTCCTCAACAGAGTTCTCAGTCTCAAAACAGCCACTGTGCAGCTGTGAGGTTCTACTCCTGGCATATAGGTGCTTATCTAGGCCATGCCGCCATCTCTTCCACCATGCCAACTTGTGAAGGTCAGCACTGATGGATGTATCAATACAGAATAATGCTGAAAGGCAACCCACCCAACTGCCTGCTGGTAACACAGAAATGTGCTTAATAAGTCTTTTATCAATTGTTGATGCTCAGCTTCCATCTTGTCATCACCAGCTGATAATCCACCACCTGATAATCTACAAACAGAAAACACAGGACAGCAGGTGTCTGCATTAGGCCCTGCTTCTTTCTGGAAGGTTTCCCTTCCCTCTTAGAGCTGTCTGTAGCAGACATATAAAACCCAGCACTGCAGGGTAATGCTGATAGTCTCTGTATTTTGCTACTGATATGATTCCCAGAGTGGTCATCCTTCCTCACACCTTCTCCTTTGCCACCTTGTTATGCCAATGTAATCAGGATACAGAGAAGTGTTTGGATGCTTGAGATGTTCCTGTGCAGCAGCAGAGCATTAGACAACTAAAGCCAGAACAGCACCCCTCTGAGGCAGGAGGAACGCTGAGCTAGCAGCATGCCCTTCCCCCCACAGGTTTTACCCAC